TCTTCTGCAGAGAAGAGAAAACTTAAGACCTGGTAAATTTGACTTCCAGATCCAGACAGGCAGGCAGGGACTGGCCAATCAACCAGACATCGTGGTAGTAGACAAGGACCAGAAGATGGCCTTGGTGATAGATGTAGCAGTGCCTAGTGACAGCAACATCAGGAAGAAGGAGTATGAGAAGCTGGAGAAGTACCAGGGCCTGAAGGAGGAACTAGAAAGGATGTGGAAAGTCAAGGCCAAAGTGGTCTGAATGGTGGTAGGAGCACTCGGGGCTGTGACTCCTAAGCTGGGAGAGTGGCTCCAACAGATCCCAGGAACGACATCAGAACTCCCTGTCCAGAAGAGTGCAGTGCTAGGAACAGCTAAGATGCTGCACAGAACCCTCAAACTCCTAGGCCGCTGGTAGAGGACCTGAGATTGAGGAAGACACGTACCATCCATAGGGGTGAGTGGGGATTTTATTTATATACACATACACACACACACACAACACACAAACAAAACAAAAAAGTTTTTTCTTTTGCTTCTCTCTGTTCACCAGTTCTCTTGCAAAAAACCCCAAACTCAGATTTCCCACTATATTCCATTTTCCCAGACACATTACCTGCAATTCACAGCAAAAATTAGACGAAGGAGACAGAACTCCTTTTGTCTCTGGTCTGGGAATAGCAGGTGCACAAGGAGAACTCCAGTTTACCTCTTGTGGGGGCAACAATTGCAGTTCTCTAGATAAAGACAACTGAGTAGCCAGCAGACAAACCCCATAGGTGTTTCTTTTATACATGTTTAAACCTGAGATGCACAGTTTAGGAACTACTTTTATACTGCCCAAATCACAGAAGTAACTTTCAGTTGTGAATTGTCACAATGCGGCATGTAAAATTAAAAAAAAACAACCACCAAGAAACCTTGAGGTTTATGCATGTATCACCTGCTGGCATACTGGCAGCCATGGCATTTACTTTAAATCTGCCCAATGACAAAAGTCCTGTGGGTGGATTATTATTTAAAATGTTATTACTTGCACTATGTTGATGAAGATTCTCAGTCATCCAGGTGGAATTATGATTCAACCCCCAGATTATTACTTGCACTGTAAACTATGGGGGCTATAAAGAATACAGAAGAACCACAGCATAGTAGCAGATGAGGGAAAAAGTCTTAAGGAAAGATGGATTGCAAATTAGAGCTAAAAGAAGGTGCTGGGAGGGGGAATAACATAGGAAATTGCTATATGAGATCAATAAAATTGGAAAGGCAAGGAAGCTGAGAACATGGGAATACTGTGAGATATGGAAACAAAATGTCAGTGGTGACAGGAAAAGGGGAAATGAATCAGATTGCTGAAATAGTGTACATTTCAAAGCCTCCTAGAGTCACTTATATAGTGAGATGGGTGGCGTGTAAATGTGATAAACAAACAAACATGTTCAAATTCAGTATTAGAAATAAGGAGGCTTCAAGTCTTTTATTCTAAAAAAAATGTAAATGTATATTTGATCCTATTAAATTAATTCTTCTTAGCCTGTTTTTTCCTACCTCATCCTCAACAGGCAATATTTTTTTTTTCCAACCATCCAAAGGCTTTTTGTGGCTTCCCACACTACTTAGCCAATGATGGTTTTTTCGAATTCCTCTGTGCTCTCATCCATACTCTCACCTACCCCCAGGATAAATAATTGGAGTTGGACAGCAAGTAAAGCTTCATTAGTATGAATGTTTCATTTTCATGGGCTGTTTCTGAAATGAGATACAGCCTGTCTTTATGGGTCTTCTCTATAGGTTAAATGATTCAGAAAAGCATGAAGCTTCACCACAAGAAATAATATGGGTGGCCTAGGAAACAAACAAAAAGGAGAATACAGTACATGGGTTTAGTTAGCTGAGTTGGTGCAACCAAATGGATGGTACACATTTCTATGAGTGAATTGCTGAAGTTAAAGAAAGGCTGGGACAAAAATCCCACAGTGTCTTGGCTGGTTACCAGTGGCCCTGTCACCAAAACAGGGAGGTAACTATTTCTGTTGAGCACAAAGAGATGTCATCCTCTATTAAAGTGGCATGGTTTTCTAATCCACTTCTGTGGCACCCTTTTTTGTGATATGTTGGGCTAGACAGAAACACTCAGTTGGTGGCAGTTAGTGGCAGGTTAACCTCACCAGTTCACTAGCTACTTTGCAGAGGAAGAACTGCCCTTTCAACTGACCAATTGTTATCCTGCCCTCTTACAGGTTCTACACCCCCCTTTGCTAGATATGATGACGATGATGATGATGATGATAGACAGACAGACAGACAGACATGCAGAGGAAGACCTACCTACTGGAAGGAAAGCAACTGACAATGTCTTTCTTGAAAGAGGAAGACTGTTATTTGATAACTCTGAACTGAAGAGCAGGGCTTGACATGTTCTGACCTTGCAATTCAGGAGATTTGCAGATTAGGCTCAGAAAGATCAGGATCTGTTGGAGGATGAGCCTTCAATTCTGGAGCAGTCAGGTAATCAGGTACCTGCCATGGAAGCGCAGCAGCGGGCCAAGTCATATGACCTAGAGCCTGTGCAGGAAAAGATCCAGGGAGTTGAACAGAGATGTTCAATGAGACTCCTTGAAAGAAAGGTGCATGACTCAGGATTATAGGGCTTGGGAATCAGATTTTTGTTGGCAAGCAACTTTCCAACCTCAGGCCTGATTTCCTGAATGTGTGCTGCTTCTGATTCCCTAAGAGATCTTGGACTAGTACTAAATCAGATTGCACTCAGTCTGTTTAAAACATGATTTTCTTAAGCCAATGAGCACAGGACAGGAGTAGCCTAATTGGTAAGTGTGGATATGTTCTAGATTGTCACAAACCTGAGGATACATAATTTACGCTTCTGCCCTAAGTAAGGTAGGAGTTCCAGAACTTAAATTTTTTGCATACCCCAGAAAATGCTTCACCACATTTTATTTTCAAAGCCCAAAGCAAGGTTGGGCCAAACAGAAAGTAGAAATGATTTTATCAACTCTGAAATCCTCATGTCAAGCAAATAATTTCATCATCATACAAACCATTTTATTAAGTTTCACAAATACCATATTCATTGCAGAGGTTGAAACAGCTTTAAAAAAAAGACCAATCATTGTTCCTTACTTTTGTTTTTTGTTAAGCTGGATGTGAACAGGAATCCATAAATAAATGATATATTGCCGATTACTTCTAAAGCTCCTCTACTGTGTGTCTGACAGTGAGCATCCTGAATTACCCTAAGAAAAGCTTCTTAATTCCAAATCAAAGAAACCTATATAAAACAAATGCATTTATATTCAGTTGATGATCTGGCAGATTTGGTGTATGTTTGCTATGAGACATTACTATTTTTTTTCTACCAGTACAAAGATTGTTTTGCAAACCAGATGGTTTATGACAACTCCATGAACTGTATAGGAAGGATCTTATAAAGCCCAGTTCTGATCACTTTTAGCTAATTTCTGTGATCAGAGGCAATGTAGGAAACAATAAGATAACATAGAATTCTTTGTGGAAGTTTATTTGCTGCTTCAGCTTTAAGAAGAATCCAAAGATAATTCATAAGACCCTGTTCTAGAATGGACCTTTTTCAATGTACATACCACAAACCTATCCCCCGCTGCCAGCATCAAGGACGTCCACTGTTCCTCAGGATTAGTCTCTGTAATCATTACAGTGTTTTGTCTATCCTATCAGCCATCTCTTTATCCTAAGTATGAAGAAGTTGCTACAGCACTAGAAGTTGCTACTGAGGAGGTAGTAGGAGTTTCAGTTTCTTATTCCAAAAGGAACTTGTTTAGGTTCTCAAATACACCTTTGCTGTTGAGCATCTCAGCAACTGAGCATTTGGAACACCTGTTTTGTTTTAATATAACATCTGAGTGGTTCCAGTAAATGGGACAATATCTGAGCAATCCATAAACAAACACAGGGAAACAAGTATCTATTAATATCCTTAGAAAGACTAATGCCATGAAGAAAATTCTTCTACTTTTTCCCCCATACCAGTTGTTCCCAAATTTGTTTTTGAAACTAATTTCAAAGGAAAAGAGAAGTTTAGAGAAATTCTGATGGGTGAAGTATGTGCTTTTACATTAATTTAATTACAAGATGCCCATAGGTGTGTGTTCTGTATTTCATTGTATAGTCATCTCTCCAGGACTCTGCAATTTCTCTGGCTTCTCATAAATCAATTAAATCCCAAGGAAAGACATCAGG